AAAAAATCAAAAAAAAAAAAAAAAAAAAAGAAATAGTCATCAAGAAAAAGCATTGTTAATAGTTTGGAGTAGTTTCTTCTCAATCTTTTTTGCAGTGCTTTTTTTATATAACTGAGTTGGGTTCATAATAACTTCATAATACTTAATATTTTTAAGGCACTTGTATTGCTCTAAAGGAATTCCCATGAATCGTCAAGCTACCTTTGTGTGGTGGGTATTAATGTCGCTGACTTGTACAGAGGCACAGAGAGGCTTTGTAATTTACTTGCAGTTACATAGCCAGGGAGGGACAGAGGCAGAATCTGAACCTCTGCAGCCTGGCTGTGAAGCCTGCGCTTTTAAACACACTGTCCGCCCTGCGTTCCTCATGAGAGAGGACTTCCGGTTTTTCTTTCTGGTTAAGTAGGTTAAGCCCTGCTGGCTTTGTTTGCCACCTTTTGAAGGTCAGATGGAGAGGCAGGTGCCTTGATTCTGGAATTACACAGGCCCTGGAGCTGCAGGGCTGAGTTCTAAGTCTGATAGGGGTCATCTTGAGTCTTCTCCTCATGGCCCAACAGACATATTTGCAGGTAAAATGCTGCCTTTTGTGTCCATAGACACGGAACTTGTTCGACTGCTGGCATCTGTGTGCATGCAGGTGAATAAAGACAAAGGCCGTCCGAGCCACCAGCTGCCCCTGCCCCACTCGAAGGTCCGACAGCCCTGGAGCATCCCAGTGCTGCCTGATGACAAGGGTGGGCTGAAGGTTTGTCTTTTCCTGTCTTAAAGGGGCTTAGGGGGCCAGGGAGATGGGGGCTGGCGGGGAGCCTGCTGCCTCCTATGCACCCAGGCTGGTTTTTGCTGGGGAGTCCCAGCAGGGGTGGTAGGTGAGCTGGCATTGAGCAATAGGAAACAAGGGGGACCAGGAAAAACTGGGGTGACTGTGACCATGTTGTGGCAACAGTGGCTGCTTTGTAAGAATGTGGGTCCACGCCTGTAATCCCAGCTACTCCAGAGGCTCAGACAGGAGAAATGCTTGAGTCTGGGAGGCAGTGGTTGCAGTGAGCCGAGATCACGTCACTGCACTCCAGCCTGTGCGACAGAGCAAGAGCTTGTCTCAAAAAGGACTGTGGGTCCATATTACTAGATCTCTTTTTTTTTTTTTTTAAGGAAAAAATAGAAATCCAGATTTTGATATGGAATCTTAATTTATAAGTATAGGGAATTTTAGAAAATTCTGCTTGATTTAGTACTGAGCTGGCCAAAGCAAACACTTCTCTTCCCAAGGAATCCATTTGCAGCCTCTGCTTTACTGTGCAGGATATTTGCTGATCGTGCCACTCTGGGGTCTCCCTGCAGTCCACAGGCCCTGCCAGCTTCCTGGAAACACCAGAAACAAGCTCTAGTGGCTGCTTGTAACTGCAAGCTGAGACTTCCTCTTTGGATTTCTCATCTTCCACGTCCTGCTCTACTTGTTTGAAGTCAAACTTACTTTATGCCTGAGAAAAGAAAACAACACACTGGTTTTGTCTGCCCACCTCCCCACTCTGCATGGAGTGGCAGCGCCTTCTGAGGGCTGCAGACTCGGCGCTGGCTCAAGCTCTGCATCCTTCCTGACTGGTGTTCTCATAGCTCCCTTCGTTTCTGCTTTTACTGCCATTTCCATAGGCTAGGCCCTCACAGACGCCGTTCATGGCTGTTCATTAACCTCTGAGTGGTCATGGGTTACAAGTGTTCCCGGGAGGTAGTGCCTGTCCTCTATAGGTGAGGATCAGCTGTAGGAGCGACTGGCCCAGGCGCTGATATAGAGATCCTGATGCCTCTCATGTTATCACCAGAGCAGGAGGAGGGAGATTATGCAATGATAGACGCTTAGGAATCTGGAGCTGCCTCTGTGTCCATCTGTCCCTGTTTCACTGTAAGACCTCAAGTAAGTCAGCAGTCCTGTCTGGGTCTCCATTTCTCATGTGCAATGAGGAGATTGATTAGATGAGGGATGGCAAATAGGGTTCACTGCCACCTCCAGGCTATTGGAAATGACTGCCTAAGGTATGGATCAGGAAAGATTTAGTGAGTAACCATGGCTTATTGGGAATGGGTGCTATTGTTGATCAGTAATGTCTGTCCAGGCCCCAGGAGAGGGGAGGGCAGGCACCTGTGAATGTAGTCACTGTCTCTGGGCTGGGTGGGTCCTGGGCCTGCTCTCCTTGCCCTTCCTGGAGCATGACTTCTGCCCTGCGTTCCTTTGGCAGTCCTGGTGGAACCGAATGTCCAATCGGTTCCGAAAGCTCAAACTGATGCAGACGTTGCCCCGCGGGCTGTCCAGCAACCAGCCTTTGGCTTTCTCTGACGAGCCTGAGCCAGCTCTGGATTCCACAATGAGGGCTGCCCCCCAGGACAGGACAAGCCGCTCTGCACTGCCTGATGCAGCCCCTGTGACCAAAGACAATGGTGAGAAAAGCCTGCCCATGCAGTAGAATTTTTGGAATGGTCTGAGCCTGCACCCTCTGCCCTTCATCCTACCTCCTGGGCTGCTGTCAGGGGTGAGGTGATGTTGGAATGTGACACTGGAGCACAGAGGCTGGTCTGGTAGAAAAGAGACTTAGGCAGGGACACAACCACCAGGAGTGTGATAGAATGAGAAGGTGCTGCCCAGTGGCAAGAGGCCCAGGTTCCTGTCCCACACTCCCTGCTGAAGGACGACAGGGAATCATCCTCTCTCTTGCCTTTGGTAGGTGGTTTTCCCCACTATGAAATGTGATTGGTCTATCACACTGAAAGCATCTTGAAATAAAATGAGTTACTGGGAGGGTGTGAGTAGTGAGCTCCCCATCACTGGAGGTATTCAACAGCTTGGATAACTTTGTCACTTTGCTGAAGGAGATTCCCATACTGACTGGAACATGGATAAGATCCCTTCCAACAGTCAGATTCCCCATAACTGGATTAGCTCCTCTGGCACCACTGTCTGAGACAGACTATTGAGCTGGGGGCACCACTGTCTGACCCAGCACGGCAATGGTTTATGGAAAAGCTGAAAACATGCTCCAATATACCTTTTAAATGCCTGCCTTCTATTAAAATATCGAATACCAATTATTATTAAATATTTAAGCACCCAGGAGAGTTGGTTTTCCAGGATGAAGCCAGCCCCAGTCACTCATCCTCATGCTGTGGACACGTGGAAGGGTCATTTCAGGAAATTTCCATTTGTCTCTCAGGTCCTGGGAGCACAAGAGGAGAAAAGGAAGACACGTTATTGACAACCATGGTGAGCGTGGGGCTTTTCTAAAAGCATTTTAGGTCTCTGGCAATCATCAGTTGATTGATTTACAAGGAGGGATATGGGCGTTTGTCTGTCTTTGTGGTGGTCACAGATAGAGTTGGTGATCAGAATGTGTAACAATAGGCTTAGCTCTGGCACTGAGGAGTCAGAACAGATGCCAGCTCTAAACTGGAGAGGGCTGTGCTGGTGCTCAGCCGCTGGGTGTCAGCCCTGGCCCCGTTCTCAGGGAGGCAGGGGATTGAGGGTAGGAATTGATGGGCAGCATGAGAAATGAAGACTCACCATTTGGGCTGTGGAGAACCGGGGAGAGAGGAGTCAAAGAGGAGGGTATGTTTCCAGCTGGGGAGGCCTCAGTTTCCTCATCTGTAAATTAGAGATGTATTAGGATTAGGGTCAACTGTGAGTAACAAAAAGTCCCCAAATAACAGTGGTATAAATAAGATAGCAGCCTACTTCATTCAAGTAAACAAAGTTCAGAACTAGTATATGACTCCTTGGAGTTAGGGACTTGAGTCCTTTTTGCCTGTTGGTCCCCCATGTGTGGTTTCTATTTCTAAGGTCACCTCTTGGTTCAAGATGGCTGCCAGAGCTCTGGCCATCACGGCCTCATTCCAGCCAGCAGGAGAGAGGAGAGAAAAAGAGGTAGCCATGGGCACATGCCAGCTGTCTTTAAAGAAGTTTCTTGGGGCCACGAGCAGTGGCTCACGCCTGTAATCCCAGCACTTTGGGAGGCAGAGGCGGGTGGATCACCTGAGGTCAGGAGTTTGAGACCAGCCTGGCCAACATGGTGTATTTTTAGTCTCTACTAAAAATACAAAAATTAGCTGGGCGTGGTGGCGGGTGCCTGTAATACCAGATACTCGGGAGGCTGAGGTAGGAGAATTGGTTGAACCCAGGAAGCAGAGGTTGCAGTGAGCCAAGCTCGTGCCATTGCACTCCAGCCTGGGTGACAGAGCAAGATTCTGTCTTTAAAAAAAAAAAAAAAAAGGTTTCTTGGAAACGACTTTGCTTAAATCACAGCGGGGAAGCTGGGAAATGAAGTCTTTGTTCCAAGTGGTCCTGTGCCCATCTAAATAAACATCAGGTGTGTCATTTCTAAGATGTGAAAAATAGATACTGGGGGACAGTTTGTAGTCTCTGACTTTGGGGATTCCTCTAGATACTGGGGGACAGTTTGTAGTCTCTGACTTTGGGGATTCCTCATGGTTATGGTTTTTAAACAAGATCACTCCCAGGAAGTTCTTAGCCTAGGGTCTGGCCCAGAATAAGCTGTGTGGTATGAACTTGGATGGTTACCTCCCCTCTCTGAGTTTCACATTCCTTTCCTCTGACATGAGAGCTTAATGGTTAAAGTTGGACTTGAGTCCCTTTAGTGTTAAGACCCTAATACTAGCCAGCAGAGGGCAGTGTTGCAGAGGACAAGGGAGCAGCGGGGGCTCCCAGAAAGGCTTCAGCAGCGTCAGGAACTGCAGAGCCCAGCGAGGAGTCCTGACCCAATCTGCCCGCGGCTCCCTGCCACCCCAACAGGTGTAAATTGATGGTTCTAACACTGACTGTGGGAGCTTGTGCTGCCTTACATTTGATCATGTTATTAAATAGCAATAATTATTTTTGGTGTGAAGACAGAAATGCTATTTTAGAAATTTTGGAAGAAGCAGTAAAACATAAAGAAGGAAAATAAATTCACCCTGATCACACCCAGCTATAACCGTGGTTGGCATTTTTAGGGTATATGTCTTTTGAGTATTTTTTGTAAGCAGTTTTTTAGCATGAATAAATGTGATATTATATGTAATAATAGCAAATACCATAGCTCTTACTAAGTAGCAGCTACTATTCACCGCACTTTGCATATATTAGCTCATTTAATATTCGTGAGGTTGGCACTGTTAGTATCTTTCCCATATTGTGTTGAATCCAATTTATTTGTGATTTGTATGTTGTGACCATCTTTTCCATGTCATCAAACACCATGTAGCCACATCATATTTAATGGCTACGTTAGAACATTCCAGTGTAGGAACGTGTCTCTTTATCTAAGACTGAACTGTCAGACTCTGGGATTTCTAGTTTTTTGTTATTTTAACAGCTCAGATGCATGTCACTATACCTTCATTTCCCCCACTTGCCTGATATTTGCTCAGGATGAATACCTAGAAATGGAATTCCTGGGTCAAAGGCTGTGAATGTCATTGGCTTCCGGAATGATAGCAACAATTTAGACTGTTACCCCAGGGAGGGAAAAGACCCTTTTGTGGTGGTGGGTTTGTCGCTGAGTGTCCAACTCAACCCTGTTTGCTAGATGAGCTTGTTGTGGTCTAGAGGGAAAGAGGGGACAGCACTTGTTTACAGACTGTCAGAAAAGCAGGACAGAGCCAGTCTGGGAACCCGGGAGGTGTACTCCTTCCCCGACTCCTCATGCCCTGTAGAGGGCGCCAGTGTGCCTGCCCACCCATAATGGGTGGGGTGGCCTGGCTGCTCCGTTGATGGGCATGTGCAGCCGTCGGTGTGGAGATGCCCGCCTTGCTCGGCTTCTGAGGCAGGTTTAGCTGTGGGATGCCCGTTGCTGCAAAGCACCATCTGGCAAAAAGTTCACTGTTTTTTCTTAATTAAGGTGAGCGTGATCTGTGAACACTTTCCTTGATGATCTAACAGTCATTACTGTGTAGATTTTATACTGACCCCCAAATCACATTTTCAAAATTTAAAATTAAATTAGAATTAAATGTCAGCAGCAGGAGGCGTGGCTGGAGCAGGCTGGTTTGTGGGGGGCTGGGGAAGAAAGTGGTTGGTGCTGGGCCCTAGCCCTTATCCCCTCCCCTTTCCTCCTTCAGCCCCAACGGCTGCTCAGGCTGGTCTCTTCGCAGCATGGCACCCATGTCCTGCTCCTCTAGGCTCCAGGCCTTTCCGTATTCTGGCCCCTCACTTGGTCTGGAATGCCCCTTCTGGTCCTCACTGGCCCAGCTTAAACTGTCATTCAAGCTCAACTCACTCCCCACAAAGGCGCCCTCACTGCACAGCAGTGGCGCCCTTCCTCTGTGTTCTCCCAGTTCCCCTGCGTCCCCCATAGCACACCAACATCATCTGCTTCTCCGTGGCGCTCTGTCTCCTCTGCCCCATTCTGATCTTGCTGCTGTGGGGAGAGATCCAGAAGCCTGGCATTGGCGCAGAGCAGACATGGGTGTTGTGCGGTTACTGGGAGGAGAGCTGCAGATGCCACATAGCTCCTGGCTTAGGTGGAGGGGCGGATGGTGGCGCCATGCCCCAAGAAGCAGGAAAAACATGGAGTCTTTCCCACAGAGTTGGGAGCCCTGCTGGGGTCTTGTCTAACCCTCAGCCTGTCTTTTTCAGCTTCGAAATGGAGCTCCCCTCACCAGACTGCCGAGTGACAAGCTGAAAGCAGTCATCCCCCCATTCCTACCTCCTTCCAGTTTTGAGCTGTGGAGCTCTGATCGGTCCCGGACGCGTCACAACGGGAAGGTAGACCCCATGAAGACCGTGCTGCCCCAGAGAGCCAGCAGGGGCCACCCTGTGGGTGGCGGGGGCACAGACACCGTAAGTTGTCTTCTGACACACTTTTACACATCACTCACTGCTCGCTGAAATCATGGTGTGTTCCAGGCAGAGGGACCTCAAACCGACAAATCCAGAAGGATTGCAACGTTTTTTTTTTCTTTTGAGTGGATGATATCCTTTTGTCTAATGAAGCCCTATAGAGCAACTCAATATGGAAAATAGATTAAAATGTTGAGGTAGCAGGGAACATCTGTCCCCTTACTGGAACCCTAGAGCTCCAAGGAGCACAGTTTGAAGACCTGATGTATCTAATCCAACCTTCCTTTTAGTAGATGAGGAAACTGGGACCCAGGGAGTGGGAGTAATAGCTGAAGATCACCAGCCAAGTGCGGGTAAACCACGATCAAGGGCAAACACTCAGTGGCAACTGTGTGTGCTACTGGTGTTTTCTTGTGCCCAAGAGTGTGACTTCTATCCTTTTGACTGTATTGGTTTCTAACTTGGTGGCTGTTGGTCTGTTTCTGAAATTGACAGCCCTGTCAATGTGGAAGGTATCTCTGTGTATAGCCTGTATCTAGATGGTAGATGCAGCAAACGGGCAAGACGAAGGGATTCAGGACTGACCCTGTCGCTGTGTGCTGGGTGATTGGAGAAACTTATAGCCTCTATCTCTATAAGATGGGGCTGGCCCCAGCACTCACTGCTGCCTCCTAGGGCTATGGTGGTATCAGATCACCAGCAGGAGACCAAGAGCCTGGCGCCTGGAGATGCTCTCAAAACAGGCAGGACAGGTTTGCGTTTAGTCCCCTATTCTCGATCAGGTAGGAACATGGGGGAGTTGTAGAACCCATCCCTGAGACCTCTTCTATGGCTGTGTTTCCTTGATAATTTAACCTTAGAGGGACAGAACATTAACTTGACTTGCTTCATTTGCTCAGTGAACATTCACTGAATCCCACTGCCATGTAGCCCGGTCAGCCCCATTCTGCCCTAGAAAAGAGGCGGTGGTCTGGGTGGCAAAGACACAGGCGCAGAACATGAGGCAGGGAGCAGTGTGAGGAGTGTGCGAGCACCAGAGAGGTGACTGTGTGTGGTAGGACACTCAGGAGGCCTCCAGGCAGAGGCAACAGCTGAGCTGGGATTTGCAAGCTGTGGAAGAGTTTTCTCCCCAGTGGAGTGCAGGCGGCAGCATCCCAGGTAGAGGGAGAGAGAACATGAGCTATAGCCTTTGTAAGTGTGTTCTGTTTTGCTTACTCAGCAGATGGGCCTCATTCTGGGCCCTGGGGATCTTGTCACTGTCCTTCCCTTAGGAGTGCCCACAGTGTGGGGCCAGGGCCCTGGGATCTGTCACTGTCTCTCCCTTAGAAGTGCCCACAGTAGAGGACCTACAAGAGGACCTTTGTTTTGGTGTCCTATGGCTGCTGTAACAAGTCACCTCAAACTGCATGGCTTAAAACAACAGAAATGTATTCTGTCACGGTCCTGGAGGCAGAAACCCTGAAATCAAGGTGTCAGCAGGGCCCCGCTCCCTCCGGAGGCTCCAGGGAGATCCGTTCTTTCCTCTGACAGCTTCTCTTGACTCTAGGCTTCACTTGGTTTGTGGCTGCGTCACTCCAGTCTCAGCCTCCATGGTCACATTGCTAGCCCGTTTGTCAAAATTCCCTCTGCCTTTTCTCTTTTGAAGATACATGTGATTGCATTTAAAGCCCACCTGGAAATTCCAGGATAAGCTCCTCCTCTCAAAATTCTTGACTTAAGCACATCTTAGGTAAGCACATATAAGCTCATCCTCAGTCGTGTGCCTCTTAAGGTAACAGTCAAAGGTTCTGGGAATTAGGACAGTGTGTATCTTTTTGGGGGCGGCGATTCAGCCCACTCCAACTTTAATCATATCTACTGAGTGCTGCCTTTGTGTCGAGGCCAGAGCTGGGTACCAGGCATACAGCAGAGAACCAAGTCCCCATGGAGCTGACAGTCCACTGGGGCATCAAACACACAGGCAGCCACAGTAAACGTACACTCACAAGCCGTGGTAAGAGTCACAGTGTAAGCGAAGAGGGTGCTGGAAGGGAGCACAGCCATGTGTCGGGGAGCCAGCCCTACACGGGAGCCCATCTTAGACCAGAGCCCACATTACACCGCTTAGGCAGTGAAGGCCTCCGAGACCTGAGACCCAAGGACAGGCAAGAGCCGCTGTGGGAGGAGCCGCCAGGTCCATGTAGAACAGGCTGCCTGGGCAAAGGCCCCAAGGCACAAAAAGGATCAGCAGGAAACCGAAAGGAGGTTGGTGTGCCTGGAGCAGAGCAAGTGAAGCAGGGGGTGGAGTGAGTTCAGGGTGGAGAGGATGTGACCGGGAGCCCTGGCACCAGTGACAATGGGGCCAGGAAAGGCACCATGAAGGATGTGGGGAGGAGAAGACCCATTCCAGGCTGAGGGACCAACAGGGACAGCATCACGGAAGCAGGCTTGGAGGTGGGGAGCTGGTTACTGTGCCAGGTGGTGCTGAGGGGGCTAGATTTTGTCCTGGATGTGTTGAGGCCTCCATGGGTTGTCAGTGAATAACATGGTCAGGTTTTTTCTTGGAAGGCCCTGGAGTTGAATGAGACTGAAAGCAAGGTGGCTCATGGGAAATGACGTCACATGGGTTCACTGAGCTGATGGGTGAGTTGTCAGCACATAGAAGCAAGCTCTATCCCTCAGGGACTCCCCTGCTGGGCCCTGGCAGGGCCGTGCTGGGCACAGCGAGCTCTGGTGGGGTGTGCACCACCTGAGCGCAGGAACCCTCACACTGATCTGCACGACTGGAGGGAGGAGCAGCCTCCCTAAGTGCTGTACGTGCCTTATTCTTGCAGACACCCGTCAGGCCTGTTAAATTTCCAAGCCTCTCCAGAAGCCCAGCCTCTCCTGCCAATTCTGGAAACTTCAACCACTCGCCTCATTCATCGGGCGGCTCCAGTGGGGTAGGAGGTGTGAGCCGGCATGGTGGGGAGCTGCTTAACCGCTCAGGTGAGTAGCTGGGCAGGGCCACTCAGGGAGGTGGGATAATCCCTTGGGACTGAGGGTGTGCGCTGCCCGGATATTCAGGCTGCAGACAGTGGCAGAAATGACCGCACAAGAGGGACTTTCTCCTTGATGTGGCTAAGAGATTTTTCAGTGAATTCACAATTCACATTTTACACAGTTTCTTGGGGATGCGGGTGGATGGAGATGGAGGAAAATAAAGTCCAGAATGCTCTTTTTTTTTTTTTCTTGGATTAAAAGAAAAGCGTGGTATTTTCACAGTGTTTAAAATCCCTGAAAGTTAGAGCTTGGACCTTCTCATTCTGCCCCTTCATTGAACAGATGAGGAAAATGAAGCTCACAATGGGCAAGAGATTTGCTTAGGGTCACACAGCAAGTTGGTGGCAATTAGGTCTCAAAGCAGAGTGCCCCAAAGTTATGGTGGGCTTGCAGCATACTTTCTAGTCCTCCCTAAAGTCATCCAGGATTAACCAAACCAGCTTTGCAGGAAGGCCACTGTATTAGTCTGTTCTTGCGCTGCTGTTAAAGACATACTCAAGACTGGGTAATTTATAAAGAAAAAGGATTAATGGAGTCACAATTCCACATGGCTGAGGAGGCCTCACAATCATGGCAGAAGCTGAAAGGCACAACTTACATGGCGGCAGGGCAAGAGAGAGCTTGTGCAGGGAAACTCCTTGTTATAAAACCATCAGATCTCATGACACTTATTCACTACCATGGGAACAGCACAGGAGAGACCCGCCCCCATGATTCAATTACCTCGATCAGGTCCCTCCCGTTACATGTGGGAATTGTGGGAAAATGCAATTCAAGATGAGATTTGGGTGGGGACACAGCCAAACCATATCAGCCACCCTGCTTCTAGTGGAAAAAGCTTTAAGGCCAGATGAGCCAAGAGACTGAAACAAAGTATAATCTCACCCGCTACAGATCATCATTATCATTTTCATATATATATGTATATATATCTGGAAAGTGTTTTTGTCTAGATTATGAATATTTATAAAAAGACACAATAATTTATGGAGCACTTAATATTTGTCAAGTTGCATGCCAAGCCCTTTGAATGAATAATCTCCTTCAGTGCCCCAGCAGCCAATGAAGTTACCACCTCTGTTTTACAGATGGGGGATTGGGGCTAAGGACAGTTAGATAACTTGTCCGGGGTCACATAGCTATTAGTAGGCAGAGCCAGGATCCAAACCCAGGCAGCCTGACTTCAGAGCCTGTTCTTGGAACCACGTGCCTTTCTAAATTATAAACTGCTCTGTAACTTACTTTTTTCTTTTTCCTCACATTGCTAGATTGTGAGCACCTTTTTACGCTGATGCATATATATCTACAGCACCTTGTTTAATAATCAGTGTTCCATTTATATGAGGCATCACAGTTCATTTAACCAATTCCCTGTGTTGAACACTGAGACTGTTCCTAGATTTTTGCTTTTTGTAGGTAATACCTCCCTTCGTAATACCTTCATGCTTCCATATTCACCTATATGTTCAGTGATTTCTGTTACTTAGATTTGCTGGAATCAGGGTGACTGAGTTTGTGAGTATGCCTATTTTTGAGGCTTTTGATGTTTTGCCCTCCAGTATGGCTCTCTTTAAACATGTGAAATATTTACAGCAGGGCTTGGCACATAGTAAATCCTCTATAAATGTTAGTCATTAGTGTCCCCCCTTGAGTACCTCCCAGCCCTGAGTATTATCACTTTCTTCCTTTGTTTGTTTGTTTGTTTTTTGTTTTGTTTGAGATAGAGTCTTACTCTGTTGCCAGGCTGGAGTGCAGTGATGCAATCTTTGCTCACTGCAGCCTCCACCTCCTGGGTTCAAGTGATTCTCCTCCCTCAGCCTCCTGAGTAGCTGGGACTACAGGCGCCCGCCACCACACCCAGCTAATTTTTTGTATTTTTAGTAGAGACGGGGTTTCACCATGTTGGTCAGGCTGGTCTCGATCTCTTGACTTTGTGATCCGCCCGCCTCAGCCTCCCAAAGTGCTGGGATTACAGGCGTGAGCCACCACACCCGGCACATTTCTTTTATAATAGTTCGAGGTTACCTGTAGATTTGGGGAAGCAGAGTGAGGGAGATGGCAGTCAGGGTTCAGTCAGGAAGCAGACCACTCTGAGCATTATGGAATTGGGAATGTATTGACCCAGTCTTGGGGGTGGCCACATAAAGGGAGAGTGAAAGGGTGAGGGACCACTCACTCACTAGCCCTCCTGAAACCCTGGTGCAGCCAGACAAGATGGTTTGTGCAGCTTCTGGCGGGCACTGCAGAGGGACTGCTATGGGTATCGGGTGCAGGGTGTTGCATCTGTGCCTGGTAGGGGCTGGCACGAGCTGGCCATGGCAGGGGGAAAGCGAGGATGGACTGGGTTTTGCCTGTGCCGCTGCTTGCCACCTCTTACCATCACGCCTTTGCAGCACAGAGCCTGCTGCCTAAACTTCCACCTCGCGGTTCTCCTGCAGAGTTCTCCTGTTGTCAGCCCTGTCCTGGAGCCACATGGGGAAGGGAGTCTGGGAGACTGACTCCAACCCAGTCATCACACGACAGTCCACCACCCTTGTGTTGGAGTAAGCCCTCTGTGCCCACGGTGTTCACTCCTTTTGTGTTTCCTCAGGTGGCAGCATAGACAATGTCTTGTCCCAAATCGCTGCCCAGAGGAAAAAAGCAGCTGGATTATCGGAGCAGAAACCCAGCCATCGGTCAAGCCCTGTGGGGCCAGCACCGGGGTCCAGCCCATCTGAGCTTCCAGCCTCCCCTGCAGGTGGCAGCATTCCCGTTGGCAAGGTGCTTGTTCTGTGTGTCTCCTCCTGTTACACTCAGATTCTGTCCTAACGTGGCCCACTTGCTGGGGAGCATGGGCAGTGCCTTAGTCGTGGGACAGGACTAAAGACAGGTCCCTTCCAGCCAGCCACTCCTGGGCTTCATGAGAAGGGCTGAATCGGTCCCCCGCACCAGGCATGTACCTCCCCTCACATCTCCAGGTTTGAGGGGCACTGGGCTGCTGCACAGTGGCAGGGTACACACCCACTTCCTGCAGCCCCACAGGTCACCCAGCACATGGCACACTTTTGTTCCTTGATGAGGATGAATGGTTTAAGAGCATGAGTTGAGGAGCAACCTGCCTAGGTTCAGCTCTCAGCCCCACATCTCAGCATTTAGAACAGGGCCTGGCACAGGGTAAGCCCAGGTCCGTGTTGGCTGTTCCTATTGACAGTGTTCTTAGTGGTCTTTGTTGTCCTTCAACCTTATTCATCCATTGTGTACATCCTGGGAGCATCTGCTCTGTGCCTGGCACAGCTAACAGTGAGGACCCAACTGTGAACTGGGAAATTTGGCGACCACTCTAAGGACACAGGCAGTCACAGCTCAGTGTGACGGGTTGTTGTGGAGCAGCAAGGATGCTGTAGGGGCACAGGTGGGGGGCCCTACCCAGGTTTGATGGCATCAGGGCCAGCTGGATGGGGATCTGAAGAATGAGGCTAGAGCCAGGTGAAAGGGGTATGGGTGGGCCAGGGGTATTGGTGCGACTGTTCTGGGGTGAGGGAACAACTTGTGTAGCACTCCAGAGGCTACAGGGAGGAGCTGAAGGAAGGACGTGAGCAGGACAGAGCCGGGACCTTGTCTCCCTGCTTCTGGGCATTGTGCTTCCATTAATGCAGCCAGAGAACAGTCACCACATTGTTAGCGTCTACAGATTATGCAGTAGACAAGAAAACATAGATGCCTTCCTGGAACGAGAAGTTTTTTAGTGCCTTCAGACTCTGCCTCTGCCTCCTGAACCTCTTCGCCTTGGTTGATTTCTGGTGTGAGCCCAGAGTGCGGGTTCCTAGTTGTGAATGTGAACTGGCTCCTCCACCAACTGGCTCCCTACTAGTGCGGCATAGCCCTTTCCTCCTCTGAGGGGACTCTATGTCCAGGCATAACCCTACTCTTCATAGTTCTTAGATGTCATAAGTTTCCTTCTGTGAGAAAAGTCTGAACACAGAAAGCCTCCCTCATCCATGGACCTTTGCCCACCAAAGAATCACCTCCAGAGACTTATGCTCCCAGGATGTGCATGTACTGTGTGAGAAATAGTCATTTTCTGCCCAGCTACTGTTGGTTACACAACTCTTTTTGTTATTCAAGATCCCTTATGCAATAGGACCTATATAATTAGATTCCTTTTACAGTGTAGCTCCAAAAAGATTCTTTCTCCGTATACATTCACTTATTTTCCATTTTTTTATCTTCAAAATAATTTGTGTAAAAGTCCTATACGATTAAGTTCCTTTTATAATTTGGCTGTGGGGAAAAAAGTCTCTACTGATACTTCGATATATTTTATCAGATAGTAAGAATTTTTATAATTATTGTATTTCTTTCTTTACCTTTGCTACTAGGAAACTCAGCTACTCATGAAGTGTACTGTTTTGAGGCTTTGATACAGTGTTTCTTTGTTGTCTAAAATTTTGTTTATTTTCTGATGGTCTTATTGGATGTGTTATGTATTAGCTTCCTTTAATTTTTGTTGGAAATAAGCAGACATTTCCAAGTTATAAATTACATTAACTATTATTTATTATATTAAGTATTAACTATTATTTTGATGTATTGATCATACATTATATATAAGTATATTCCGATGACAGGACATTGTATCAAAAGATGCATTCAGGAAGCAGTAAACTGGGGAAACCATCCATTTCAACGATCACCTGACATTTGTAACATAATGTTAATAGTATGTTATGATCTTGGGGAGCTGTCTAAAAATTCAGATTTCTGGGCTCCACCCCTGCATACCTGAATGAGACTCTCAGGAGAGAGTCTGGGGAATGTTTTTCCTGCCAGAGCGTCTGTTGCAGCCAGCCCAGTCCAGGGCTCATAGAAACCACAGCCTTAAATCAAAGGACACAGAAGTGGGTTTTCTATCCCAGCAGCAAAATAGAGAGATGAAGTGCTTTTTCAAAGATTACCTTAGTAAAAATTAGAAATTAGTATTCAAAATATGAGCCTCCTGAATCTGGTTTTTGTACTTTGCTTAAAATAACTCGCTGTAATGGTGGAATATCCACAGGGCATGGCATCTAGCAGGGCCATGAATCAGTGTGATATGAGCTCCAGGAGACACGGCATAGATGTCGTTAGAGTGTGCACCAATACTTCCCAGATCTCTGGAGGCCAGAAGGCCTGCTAGATATATCAGCTTTCTGTTCCTACCCTAAAACTCAGTCATTTCAGACAAAAACATTACTTAGCTGCTTGTATGCTTGTGGGTCAGCAGTTTAATCTGGACTTATGTGGGCAGTTCTCTGGTCTGCAGGGATCACTCACCTGGATGGTGGCCAACGTGGCCAGGACAACTGAGCCACATGTGTCTACAGCAAGCCTGGATGTGTTCTCATGGCGGTGGCTAAAGGCATGGGTTGAAAATCAATCGGATTGTTTAAGCAAGTTAGTATGCCTACAGCAGGACAGCATACAGAACTATGTGCAGAGGGAAGGGTAGAGATGATGTCCTTAATAGAATCAACCTTCCACTCAAGGGATATTGAGAACAATTCAAATATTTCACAGAATCCCAAATAATCTTATATTTCCCCACCTCTTCCCCAGTATGTTGCCCATATGGTCCAGAGTATCATGTTACTCGCTTTTGGCTGGGATAGATCTGTGGGGCTATATTAATTATCTCCTGCTTAATCAGAAATTCTATTTGGGATTGTCTGTCTTCATGGAAAGAGCAGAGAAAAGAGAGAAGAATATATTAGTGGTATAGCCAGCTTTTTGGTAAAGTCTTTCAAAATCTCAGGGAAGGTCTTCTTTTTCCACTCAGGCATATAATCAGCTAGAAGGAGCATTAAAGTCTTAGTAGGAAGAAAGATATATCCATTTATGCTTAGGAATCTCAGTCTATACTCTATAATATGTACAATTTTTAGCAAAATTTACAAGACATACAAAAAGACAAGAAAAACCACACTCCTTAGAAATGAAGCAATCATGATAATCAGATCTGACAAAGGTGTTAGAATATTTGACAGGGAATTTTAAATAACTAAGATTAATATGTTAAAGGTCCTAATAGAAAGTATAAACATGCAAGATCTTATGGGTAACTTTGGGTAACTGTTTTAGTAGAGAGATGGAAACTGTGAGAAAAAACCCAATGGAAATGTTAGAAATAAAAAAAAACAGTAATGGAGTTGAGAAATACCTTTGACAGGCACCTCAGTAGACTTGAGGCAGCCAGGGAAAGAATCAGTGAACTTGAAGTTAGATCAGTAGAATTTATCCCAACTGAAACACAAAAGAAGAAAGAAGAAACACATACAAAACAAACAGTACTCAAAAGTCATGGCATGATATCAAATGCCATAGCATAGAGATAATTGGAATCCCTAAAAGAAGAGAGAAAGGTGGAGCAGAAGGAATACGTAAAGAAATAATGCCTAAAAAATGAAAACAAATAATGGTTGAGAATTTTCTCAAATTGATGACAGATGCCAAACCACAGATCCAGGAAGGTCACAGAACACTAAATGGGGTAAATATCAAAAAGAATATACCCCTCCATATTATGTTTAAACTACTGAAAATAAGCCAAAGAGAAAATCTTGAAGGCAGCCTTTTCTTGAAGGAAATTACATACAGAGAAACAAAAATAGGAATTATAGCAGACTTTTTGTCAGAAATCATGCAAATCAAAGACAGTGTTGTGACATCTTTAAAGTACTGAAAGAAAAAACTAGAGTCATGTTGGCTCGTAAAATGAATTGGGATTATCTCCTCTTCTAGTTTTCTAGAAGATGCTGTGTACAGTTCTTATTACCTTTTCCTTAGATGTTTGATAAAATTTGCCAGGGAAACCATTTGGGCCTGTCATTTTCTCTTTTGGAAGGTTTTAACTTACAGAATGAATTTCATTAATAGATACAGGACTATTCAGGTATTCTATTTCTATTTGAGTAAGTTTTTGTACTTTGTATCTTTCAAGGAGTAATTCCCTTTTATCTAAGTTGTTGAATTTATGGATATAGAGTTGTTAATAGTATGTATCTATTACCATTTTATTACATAGGATCAGTAGGAATGTCTCCTTTTTCATTCCTGCTATTGGTAATTTGTGACTTCTCTCTTTTTTTCTTAATTAGTTTGGCTAGAAGTTTATCAATTTTATTGATGTTTTCAAAGAACCAACTTTGGTTTTATTGATTTTCTCTATTTTTGTGTTTTCAATTTCATTGATTTCTGCTCTTATCTATAATTTCTTTCCCTCTACTTTCTTTGGGTTTTATCTTGTTCCTCTAGTTTCTTATGGTGGAAGCTTAGATTACAGTTTAGAGATCTTTCTTTTTTTCTAATACAGATATTTAATGCTATAAATTTACCTCTATGTGATGCTTTTTCTACATCCTACAAAATTTGATATATTTTAATTTTAATTCAGTTCAAAATATTTTCCCCTTCTCTTGAGATTTCCTCTTTGGCCCATGGATTATTTAGAAATATATTGTTTATTTTTCAATTATTTGTTTTCCAGAAATCTTTCTGTTATTGGGGATTTTAGTTTAATTTGATTATAGTTCTGTTTCTAGTTCTGTCCCTTTAAATGTTTTGAGGTCTATTTTGTGCCCTAGAATGTAATCTATTTTGGTGAATTTCTCATAGGCAATTGGAAAGAAAGTGCATTCTATTGTTATGGTTGAGGGAGAGGAGTTCTATAAATGTCCATAAATGTCTAATTAAGTCTAGTTGGTTGATAGTGTTGTTCTTGTCTTTTATATTCTTACTGATTTTCT